ACGCTCACTGAGCTGGAGACGAGATCTGCGGATCCAAGGGATCAAGACATCAGGTACGTCACCCTTGGCTCGCAAGGGGAAGACCGTGGTGTAGCGCGAGAAGTCGTCAACAACGAGCAGGAAGTACCGCTCCTGACCCTGTCCACGGACGCGGGCTGGGCCCCACACGTCCAAGTGGAGCGTCTGCAGGGGAGCAGTCGTCGGGGGAAAGGAGGAGGAGTGAGGAGCGGCGCGCTGCCGCCCCTCGACACAGGGAATACAGGGAGGAGCAGGCGAGTCGGGAAGGGGAGGGAGCACCCTGGGAAGACCAGCAACAAGGTCCCGTTTGTGCATGGCCCGAAGGCGCTGCACAGACGGGTGACCAAGGCGGTGGTGCCAGAGGACAGTCTCATGCGCCAGAGAGCGACACGAGCAGGGGGCGGATAGCGGACCTGACGCAGACGCAGACGCAGCTACCTGAGGGGACGCAGTGGTCAGTGTGTACAGGTCCGACCCCGGCTCTCGAGTGAAAGTAGCCAGGTGGCGACCCGTCCGAGCACACGTGCAGTGTGTCACGCGCTCGTAGGCAGGGGTGAACTGGTGAACACCCGAGTCCTGGAGCGCACAGCCCGCCACCAAGTTCGTAGAGAACGAGGGGAGGTAGAGACCTGACAGCGTGCCGGACGGGACCGCCGGACAGGGAAGGACAGTGGAGGAGGTCGCAATGACCGGACCCCCAGAGGGGTCAGCAAGGGAGACAGCAACTGGCCGAGCGAGGGGCTCGAGGACAGTGCGGTCACGAAAGAAAGAGCGAGAAGCACCTGAGTCTAGTGTGAAGGTGTGCAGTGCTGCAGTAGACTCAGTACCAGGGGGCACAGACGCACTAGCACCTAGGGCAGCAGCCTCACCAGGACCTGTGGGAGCGGACGCACTAGCACCTAGAGCGGCAACCGGACTGGCCTGAATGCCCGGATCGGGCGGAACACGCAAGTACTGAGCACCCTCTCCACTAATAGACATAGCATACATGGCAGTGAGAATAGCATCAAAGTCTAAAGCCCAAATATCAACACCCCTCTTTTCCAGCTCAGCCCAGCGCGGCAGCTCAGTGGCAGTAGGAAACTGGGTGCGCCACGCGTCGGTAAGGCGCGCGAAGCAGCGCTGCGTGGGGTGCGGCCTCCCACACTGCTGGCCGCTGCGGTCACCTGTGCGAATGACGTACGTGCAGGTAAAGCCACGCTGCGCATACCACTCACGGGCGGCCTGAAGTGTCGGGGCGGGCTGCTGACTCTGCCCTCCGCCAGTGCCTCCACGACCACCACCCCCTCCGCCTCCGCCCCGGCCACCTCCACCCCTGCCGCCACCACGACCACCTCCGCCTCCGCTGCCACCTCCGCCCCTGCCACCACTCCCGCCGCTGCTGTCGCCTCCCCCACTGCCGCCACTAGCCTCCTCAGCCGCGCCTCCACTCCCACCGCCTCCACCCCCACCTCCTCCGCCGCCACCCCCGCCCCTGCCCCCTTTGCCCCTGCGGCGCCCGCTCGAAGCAGACGCGGTCCCGACCTTCTCAGCACCAAGGAGGTCGACAGCAGCAGCAGAGGCGACAGAGGGGAGGAGGGGGGAAGGGGAACACCCCTCGAAGAACGGGGTGCGGGGGTCACCACGAGAGGTGCCTACAGCGACGATACTCGCCTCAGCTGCAAGCAGTTCCTTCTCGAGGAGGGCAACAGTGAGCTCAGTGGGGGAGCGAGAGAGGAAGTGGTCCCTGACTGCGCGCAGAGAGTCAGGGAGGCGGGTGACGATGTGGTAGAGGGTGATCCAGAGCGGGGGGGGGTTGCTAGTGAGAAACTCGGCAGGCATAGCAGCGCGAAAGCGGGCCTCACTAGTCTTAAGGTGGGTGATGAGGTCTGCGACAGTGTGAAAGGAGGCTAGGTCGGGGAACAGGTAGGGGAGAGTGAGGCGGCCTAGCGTAGCAGAAGCGGGTGAGGAGTAACGGGCAACTACAGCGGTGTAGAGGTCCCTAGCAGTCTTGCACTGGCCGAAGTGCTCGCGCTCATCTAACGGCAGGGAGTTGCGGATGGCAAAGCGAGCGTGGGCGTCACGAGTCTGCCACTGTGAGCGGGTAGTGCTGTCAGCATCAGTAGCAGGGGCAGGAGCATGGCCGAGGGCGTGGTCATACAGTGAGATATCCTCCTTGGCAGTGAGCTGTAGGAAAAGGTGCAGGTCATCAAGCCAGGTGTCAAACTTCACCGGGCGGCCCTCAGCATCGAAAGCTAGTACAGGTGGGGTAGCCATAGTAGCATAGTAGCAGTAGGAGTAGCAGTAGCAGTAGCAGTAAGTGAGTCCTAAAAGCAGTGGGCAGCGCGACGCAGGTAGGGCGGCTCGGTCCAGAGTAGTTGGTCAGTGCGGACAGCGCGGCTCGGTTCTGGTTGCGCGGCTCGGCTCGGACTGGGCGGCTCGGTACGGGCGGCTCGGTTCGGGCGGCCTGTTGCTGGCGGGGCCGCGGCTGTCGCGTGCGGTGCGGGTAGGGGCGGCGGGTAGGGTCGACGGAGCCGCTTTGGGGCGGCGGATAGGGTCGACGGGGCCTCTAAGCGGGGCGCGCGCGGGGTCGACGGGGCCAGCGGGGCCTCTAAGCGGGGCGCGCGTGGGGTCGACGGGGCCAAACGGGGCCGTAAGCGGGGCGCGCGCGGGTCGACGGGGCCAAACGGGGCCGTAAGCGGGGCGCAATCAGGTCGACGGGGCCAAACGGGGCCTCTAAGCGGGGCGCGGGCGGGTCGACGGGGCCAAGCGGGGCCGTAAGCGGGGCGCGCGCGGGTCGACGGGGCTAAACGGGGCCACTAAGCGGGCCGCGGGCGGGTCGACGGGGCCAAACGGGGCCTTAAGCGGGGCGCGAAGGGGTCGACGGGGCTAAACGGGGCCACTAAGCGGGCCGCGGGCGGGTCGACGGGGCCAAACGGGGCCTTAAGCGGGGCGCGCGCGGGTCGACGGGGCTAAGCGGGGCCACTAAGCGGGCCGCGGGCGGGTCGACGGGGCCAAACGGGGCCTTAAGCGGGGCGCGCACGGGTCGACGGGGCCTCTAAGGCGCGACGCGCGAGTCACTAAGGGGCGGCGTGCGGGGTCGACGAGGCCTTACACGAGGGCGCACGAGGGCGCTGAGGGGGAGGCGCTAACGCGACGCTCCGACAGTAGATAGGTAGGTAGGTAGTCAGTGGTGGGCCCTAAGAACGGTCCTAGCGAAGGACCTGCTCTGATACCATGTCAGAAAGAAGAGACTGGAATGATTGAACTAACAGTGAAATCAGTACAAGTACCTAACCCTAGAATTGTGTACCCCCTATAGGCTAACCCACTGTAGCCTAAACAACCACAACATATATAATGTTTGACAACAACCTGTGGCGGACGGAATGTGGTCAGAAGGATCACGAGATTGGCGTGCTGAAGAACAGGCTCGCTGAAACCGAAGAGAGGGAGAAGAAGACGGCCGCTGAAAACAAGCAGCACAAAGAGGAGCTGGCTGCTCTAAAGGCGCGTGCAGAGAGCAGCGCGAACGCACAGGCCGCTGATCGAGGGTCGGGCTCGTCGGCAAAGGAGGAAGCTGGTGGGGAGGCTCCGAAGCCTGGGAAGGCACAAGCCAGCACTCCAGTGCGGGCATTTTTCGACCTTGTCGTTAAACCCTGGCGGGACTCGGAGTCGGTCGCAAAGGCATGGGAGCACTGGGTGAAGGTGACCTTTTTTATGGAAGGGAAGACTCTCCGCCAGCTGTCGTCAGAAAAAAGTTTCTACCCCACTTTCTCGTACATTGAGAAGGGTGTGAAGGACGATGCTGGCGACAAAAAAATGAAGCGCATGAGGAACGTGATGCTCGCGGTCGAGAAATACAGGGCTAACGAAACGGAGGAGGCCACCCGAGATGCCATTGCAAAGATCGAGAAGGACGTGGTGGGTCGGAGTTCGATTAGCGCACTGGCGGATGGGGTGATTCTCGGAAACGAGCCACCTCCGAAGAGGGATAATCCCGGCAAGGATAAGACGACGGAGAACAAGCGCCGCAAGGTCGGGTACCTCCTCTTCGCCGCCCAGATGGTGGGTGACGGGTGGGGAGAGAAGATGTTTGGGAAAGATGTTTGGAAGAAGATCAAGATCGAGGAGCCGTTGAAGCTGGCTAAACTGAAGAAGTAGTTTACGCTACCGAGACTTCCTTCCGTGATCGCTTCCCTCATCTTGGACCTCATTTCTGCTCTGCTCTTGACTTTGACCCCTCTTTTTCTTATTTTTAGTTTCCTCTGATCTAAAACCTCTTTTAGAGTTACATCATTGTTGGATCGTATGTAGTTCCACTACAAAATTTACACCCACCGTACATCGTAACCTTCGCCTATCGTACCAAGAGGATTGTGCTCGAAAACAGGTGTCGTTAACAGTGCTGCGACGGCATAGAAAAAATACGCGAACAAAACTCGAATGAGCAGGCTCCCTTTGGAGTACATGGTTACCTGCCACAATAGTCAATGGAACGTAGGAATCTCTCGAAAATCAGGGTTAGCAACAAACTATGATGGCATGCAAAAAGAAATCACTGCGCCGCCAGAGGGAACTTTGATGCCCTCCCTCTCTTCTGTTCTAGATTCTAAATCCTCCTTTAGAGTAACACTAGTCATTGGAACGTCAATGTTAAGCATGGGAATGTCTCGAAAACATGGGAATGTGTCGAATATCAAAGCATTTCCCATCTGCGTTAAGAAGCAAGAGGGTTGCACTCTCGTCACGCATTAAGTTCACGATCGAAATCCTAAGTACGCTAGTTACTTGAAAACAAAGCCTCAAAAGCAATTAAGGAAACACCGTGGTTCAGAGATCTAACCCTACAGCATTCAAGTCCTTATTCACGCCATGCTTTCGAGTCAAACAATGCATGTAACAGATTTAAGTTCAAATCAATGAAAACTCAAAAACTACAACATTCAGCAGACTATAGTACAGAGCTGCTGCAAACTCGAAATTACCCTCCCCATCCTGCATCACTCGTTGCCTCCCGCATTCCCCTTCCGCCGTCCCCCTTTTGTGGGCTGGGGAAAATGGAGCATCCCACCCTGATACGCGTAAAGACTCTGGTTTGCGTGACAGCACTCGCACCAGTACACCAGCACCCTCGAAACCACCTTGGCCATTTCAATAGCCTCTGCCTCCCCGGGCTCGGGATCCACAAGGCCGAGAATGGCCTTGGTGAGCACCACTTCCCAATCCGCCTTCTCGTGCGTTAGGTTCTTCACGGCCTTCAAGGTCCACACTCCGAGGCGAGCAGTAGAGGTTGCTCGACTAGCAAGGCTTGCCTCGTTGAGCGTGCCACGAGCCGCCTCATCCGCACCCTCCGCCCAGTCCTGGTGGGGAATGCCGATCGAGGCACACCACAAGGTGTAGAGGGTTGCAGCTACTCCCGCTGCATAGACCGCGGGAGTGACATTCGCGGGGGGCGACACCAGCCCACTCCCTCCGTGTACCAGGGCCTGTCCAATCCCTGTGCAAACGGCCACCTGGAAATGTGCGCCGTCCTTCACCCGTGCATTTGTCTTGTTCATGACGTTTTCGAAGCTGCACAGGCGAGGTGGGTACATGGTTAGTAAGGCAAAATGGGAAAGTGTACTAGATCTAGCTAATCCGAATCGAGTACTTACTTCTCGAACTTGTCGAGGTTCAATTCGTTCATGACACTCCAGACACCCGTCGGGAGTTCACGAGCGAAATCGAGGTGGACCGCCCACAAGCCAAGCTCGGCAGGATCCAAGCCGTAATGGGCCATGTCGGTGTCGGGGAAGTAGGCCATCCAACAGACGGCCACTGTGAAATCGCGTAGTTTCCGCTCCTTGTAGCTCCCCATGTTCCTCTTCACACCTCCGACGGTTTGCTCCGAGTTGTAGCGCACGTACACCACTTCCCCCTTTTTGTTCTTCTTCTCGCGTTTGGTAAGATCACTCGATCTGAAATGCTTTGTTTCCCCCCACCGCTTCCCTAGCTCGTCTGGTAGCACATCCGCTCTTCGCGGTGCCACCTCTCCCGTCGCCTCCCCCAACGTTGGTTGAACGTTCTGATTTCCCGACACATTTTCACCGACACATTCCTCTGACGCAGCAGCCCCCAAAGACCCCTCATCCGCGTCGAAGCTCGTTCCGGTCTGGTCAATGCGAAGCCTCTTCAAAGGCGGTTGAGTCTCTAGACCTCCAGAGCCTGTCACATGTTCCGAACCCTCCACCTCCCCCACGAGGTCAACTACTTGCAGCGGTTCATCGGGAACCAATGAAATCACTTGAAGAATCCCGGCCCACCCTTCTTCCGCCTCTCCTCCCTGCCGTTGCCCCGCTGCCCCTTCCTCATCCTCCCCCGCAATCCGTCGCCTCTCGTTTTCCATTTTCTCTGTTTCCGCCTCTAACTCCATTTGTTGCCTCTCTTCTTCCTCCTTTACGGCTTCCTCTAACCGTGCAATACGCTCGATCTCCTCCAGGGCTTTCCGACGCTCTATTTCGAGGTCTCTTTTTCGCTTTGCTGCCTCCAACCGCTTTGTTTCCGCAATCTTAGCAATCTGCTGGCGCTTAGCTTCTAACTCCGCCTCCCTCTGTGCCCGCCTCCTTTCCATCGCCTTCGCCTCCTCCTCCTTCTGCCGCTTCTCCTCCTTTTCGCGTTCCGCCTTCCTCGCCTCCTCCCTCTTCCGCTCCTCCTCCTCCTTCTGCCGCTTCTCCTCCTTTTCGCGTTCCGCCTTCCTCGCCTCCTCCCTCTTCCGCTCCTCCTCCTCCTTCTGCCGCTTCTCCTCCTTTTCGCGTTCCGCCTTCCTCGCCTCCTCCCTCTTCCGCTCCTCCTCCTCCTTCTGCCGCTTCTCCTCCTTTTCGCGTTCCGCCTTCCTCGCCTCCTCCCTCTTCCGCTCCTCCTCCTCCTTCTGCCGCTTCTCCTCCTTTTCGCGTTCCGCCTTTCTCGTCTCCTCCCTCTTCCGCTCCTCCTCCTCCTTCTGCCGCTTCTCCTCCTTTTCGCGTTCCGCCTTCCTCGCCTCCTCCCTCTTCCGCTCCTCCTCCTCCTTCTGCCGCTTCTCCTCCTTTTCGCGTTCCGCCTTCCTCGCCTCCTCCCTCTTTCGCTCCTCCTTCTGCCGCTTCTCCTCCTTTTCGCGTTCCGCCTTCCTCGCCTCCTCCCTCTTCCACTCCTCCTCCTCCTCCTCCTTCTGCCGCTTCTCCTCCTTTTCGCGTTCCGCCTTCCTCGCCTCCTCCCTCTTCCGCTCCTCCTCCTCCTTCTGCCGCTTCTCCTCCTTTTCGCGTTCCGCCTTCCTCGCCTCCTCCCTCTTCCGCTCCTCCTCCTCCTGCCGCTTCTGCTCCTTTTCGAGTTCTGCCTTCCGCGCCTCCTCATCCTTCTGCCGCTTCAACTCCTTTTCGCGTTCCGCCTTCCTCGCCTCCTCCCTCTTCCGCTCCTCCTCCTCCTTCTGCCGCTTCTCCTCCTTTTCGCGTTCCGCCTTCCTCGCCTCCTCCCTCTTCCGCTCCTCCTCCTCCTTCTGCCGCTTCTCCTCCTTTTCGCGTTCCGCCTTCCTCGCCTCCTCCCTCTTCCGCTCCTCCTCCTTCTGCCGCTTCTCCTCCTTTTCGCGTTCTGCCTTCCTCGCCTCCTCCCTCTTTCGCTCCTCCTCCTCCTGCCGCTTCTGCTCCTTTTCGAGTTCTGCCTTCCGCGCCTCCTCCCTCTTCCGCGCCTCCTCATCCTTCTGCCGCTTCAACTCCTTTTCGCATTCCGCTTTCCTCGCCTCCTCCCTCTTCCGCTCCTCCTCCTCCTTCTGCCGCTTCTCCTCCTTTTCGCGTTCCGCCTTCCTCGCCTCCTCCCTCTTCCGCGCCTCCTCATCCTTCTGCCGCTTCAACTCCTTTTCGCGTTCCGCTTTCCTTGCCTCCTCCCTCTTCCGCTCCTCCTCATCCTTTCGCCTCTTCTGCTCCTTTTCGCGTTCTACCTTCCTTGCCTCCTCCCTCTTCCGCTCCTCCTCCTGCCGCTTCTGCTCCTTTTCGCGTTCTGCCTTCCTTGCCTCTGCAGCTGTACCCGCCGGTTGGTTTTCTGTTACTCTCCCCCTGCTGACAGTCCCAGGACGGTCCTCCACCCTCGTATTTCCCAACCCCTTCTCAGCCCGCCTCTTCTTTGCAGCCGTCACTTGCGCCGTCTGAAGTGCTTGCCGCTTCCGCGCTTCAGCCGTCCTCCTCTCTTCGCTCTCCGTCTCCCTCTCTTTCTGCACGTTCTTTGCTGCGTACGTCTCTCTCCAGTTTCTCCTCACTGGTTCAGACAAGTCAATATCTGCCACACCAGCGCCCGTCTCACCCGCCTCACCAGCGTCACCCTCCTCACCCTCGGACGTTGCGGCAAACCTTTCAATGACTCGTTGTGCTGAGGAGATTGGGATGTCTGGGGAATCTGCTTCGGGCTGCTTTCGCGAAGCCTTTGGTGTGGCCTCTCCCCTGGCGGTGGGTGGCTTTCGGACCTTGCTGGGTCCAGTCAGCCCTTTGAGCTTTGTTGACAGTCCTGCCAGAGCCTTCTGAATCTTGTTGAAAGTCAGATTATTTTGGTCGTCCGCAGCCCTGAGATCCTCCCACACTGCGAGTACACTATTGTCAATAGCCGCTTGCAGGTGTTCCATGGAGGTGGATGTGAACGAGGCCTCTAGCGACGATTGCTCTATCACCTGCTCCACCACACTCTTCAGCTTCTCCCGTAAGTTCTCGAAAAACCCCTGTAACCTTTCCTCCAATGCTTCCACAGCCGCTGCTGCAGCTGCGCGACCCGCATCAGCTGCTGCCGCTCGTGCTTCGGCGACAGAAGCCGAAAGAGCAGTACGCAATTGGGTTAGCTCGTCGCGTTCCCGGACCACCCCGGCCTTGAGCTCGTGGTACTCGTGTGTTAGATCATCGTAGTCCTGGAAGTAGCGGCTGTCCAAGGCTTGCATCTGCGTACCAAATTTTCGAATCTCTGCCATGCAGTCGATGAAACGAACACGTTGCTCCGACGAAGCCCTCGCCACGGACCTTGCCACCAAGGTCAGACGCCGCATCAACTCTGCTGTGGTATGCATCCTGCCGCCAGCTGCGATGCGGTCGCCAGCCTCCTCAAATCCTCGCTCCGTCTCCTCGAAAACCTGCGGCCCCGCTTGCTCCAGTCCCGCCAGTAGCGCCTCCACAGCCACCCATTCACCATCCTCTAGTTCCTCTCCCTGCACCGCAGCAGGATTCTCTGCCGCTCGTGGATGCCGCCTCTGCATGGGGAGCGCACTAGCCGCACTCTCTAGTTCCTCGTCCGCACGTCCTCCCGCCTCTCTCTGCTGAAACTCCCTGTGTCGCACTCCTTCCATTCCCCATCCCACCCCACGCCAGACCTGATCCTCCGCCATTCGCTCACCCTGCCGCGTTCCAATCGCTTCACCCTCTCGCCTACCAGCTTGCCTTGATTGATCGAACCTCCTATGGTCTCCCGCGCAGACCCTGTTCCGGGCTGTTTGATCATCACGCCGGCCACCTTCCCGCTGCATCATCGGCCTCGGTCCGCCTGTTCTCAATCCCGGTAAACCAACATCCGCTGCCCGACCAACAGTTGTTCCGTGATGCCCCAGGGTTGGCTGGTCGCCAACCACCACTTGCCGAGCTCCATCCCCTATATCCCGCCCCAACTGCATTGGGAAGAACCTCGCGCCCTTCTGGCCCTCAGCCACACGCCGCTGCCCCCCAGCACCTTGCTCATTCAACCCAGCAACCTCCCTCTGCCTTTCCTACCTCTGTGTAGCGCCCCCCATCCCACGGCGCTCGTTCTCTACAGGTCGATCCCTCGGACGCTCCACACCCTGATGCACACCCGCTTGCTCCGTCTGCCTCGCCACAAACCTTTCGCGCTCGAGCCTCTGAAGCTCTTTTCTTCTACGTTCGCTTTCAGTTCTCTTTCGTTCCCGATCCTGCCTCTGCCGCGCTTCCTCCCTTTCACGCGATTCTCGTTCCCCGGTCTCACCGACCTGCCTCTGTCGCTCTCGCTCCTCCACCCTCGCCTCCTCGCGCGTTTCTCGCTCGTTGGCCTCCACAATCTTCCCCGCCTTTTCGCGTTCCGCCTTCCTCGCCTCCTCCTTCTTCCGCTCCTCCTCATCCCTCTTCCGCTTCTCCTCCTTTTCGCGTTCCGCCTTCCTCGCCTCCTCCCTCTTCCGCTCCTCCTCCTCCTTCTGCCGCTTCTCCTCCTTTTCGCGTTCCGCCTTCCTCGCCTCCTCCCTCTTCCGCTCCTCCTCCTCCTGCCTCTTCTGCTCCTTTTCGCGTTCCGCCTTCCTCGCCTCCTCCCTCTTCCGCTCCTCCTCATCCTCCTGCCGCTTCTGCTCCTTTTCGCGTTCAGCCTTCCTCGCCTCCTCCGTCTTCCGCTCCTCCTCATCCTTCTGCCGCTTCTCCTCTTTTTCGCGTTCCGCCTTCCTAGCCTCCTACCTCTTCTGCTCCTCCTCCTCCTCCTCCCTCTTCTGCTCCTTTTCGCGTTCCGCCTTCCTCGCCTCCTCCCTCTTCCGCTCCTCCTCATCCTCCTCCCGCTTCTCCTCCTTTTCGCGTTCCGCCTTCCTCGCCTCCTCCCTCTTCCGCTCCTTATCCTTCTGCCGGTTCTCCTCTTTTTCGCGTTCCGCCTTCCTAGCCTCCTCCCTCTTCTGCTCCTCCTCCTGCCTCTTCTGCTCCTTTTCGCGTTCCGCCTTCCTCGCCTCCTCTCTCTTCCGCTCTTCCTCATCCTCCTTCTGCCGCTTCTCCTCCTTTTCGCGTTCCGCCTTCCTCGCCTCCTCCCTCTTCCGCTCCTCCTCCTCCTTCTGCCGCTTCTCCTCCTTTTCGCGTTCCGCCTTCCTCGCCTCCTCCCTCTTCCGCTCCTCCTCCTCCTGCCACTTCTGCTCCTTTTCGCGTTCCGCCTTCCTCGCCTCCTCCCTCTTCCGCTCCTCCTCATCCTCCTGCCGCTTCTGCTCCTTTTCACGTTCCGCCTTCCTAGCCTCCTCTCTCTTCCGCTCCTCCTCTTCCTGCCGCTTCTCCTCCTTTTCGCGTTCCGCCTTCCTAGCCTCCTCCCTCTTCTGCTCCTCCTCCTCCTCCTGCCTCTTCTGCTCCTTTTCGCGTTCCGCCTTCCTCGCCTCCTCCCTCTTCCGCTCCTCCTCCTCCTTCTGCCGCTTCTCCTCCTTTTCGCGTTCCGCCTTCCTCGCCTCCTCCCTCTTCCGCTCCTCCTCCTCCTTCTGCCGCTTCTCCTCCTTTTCGCGTTCCACCTTCCTAGCCTCCTCCCTCTTCTGCTCCTCCTCCTCCTCCTGCCTCTTCTGCTCCTTTTCGCGTTCCGCCTTCCTCGCCTCCTCCCTCTTCCGCTCCTCCTCCTCCTTCTGCCGCTTCTCCTCCTTTTCGCGTTCCGCCTTCCTCGCCTCCTCCCTCTTCCGCTCCTCCTCCTCCTTCTGCCGCTTCTCCTCCTTTTCGCGTTCCGCCTTCCTCGCCTCCTCCCTCTTCCGCTCCTCCTCATCCTTCTGCCGCTGCTCCTCCTTTTCGCGTTCTACCTGTCTCGCCTCCTCCCTCTTCCGCTCCTCCTCCTTCTGCCGCTTATCTTCCTTTTCGCGTTCTGCCTTTCTTGCCTCCTCCCTCTTCCGTTCCTCCTCCTTCTGCCGCTTCTCCTCCTTTTCGCGTTCCGCCTTCCTCGCCTCCTCCCTCTTCCGCTCCTCCTCCTCCTTCTGCCGCTTCTCCTCCTTTTCGCGTTCCGCCTTCCTCGCCTCCTCCCTCTTCCTCTCCTCCTCCTCCTCCTTCTGCCGGTTATGTTCCTTTTCGCGTTCGGCCTTCCGCGCCTCCTCCCTCTTCACCTCCTCCTCCTCCTCCTGCCGCTTCTGCTCCTTTTCGCGTTCTGCCTTCCTCACCTCCTCCCTCTTCCGCTCCACCTCATCCTTCTGCCGCTTCGACTCCTTTTCGCGCTCAGCCTTTTTCTCCTCCTCCCTCTTCCGCTCTTCCTCCTCCCTCTGCCGCCTCTCCTCCTATTCACGCTCAGCCTGCCTTTCCTCCTTTTTGCGCTCTTCCTCCTCCCTCTGCCGCTTCTCCTCTTGTTCGCGCTCTGCCTGCCTTTCCTCCTCCCTCTTCCGCTCTTCATCCTTCTGCCGCTTCTCCTCCTTTTCGCGCTCAGCCTGCCTTTCCTCCTCCCTCTTCCGCTCTTCCTCCTCCCTCTGCCGCTTCTCTTCCTTTTCGCGCCACACCTTCCTCGCCTCCTCCCTCTTCCGCTCTTCCTCCCTCTTGCGTTCGCGTTCCTCACTCTCCCTGTCCCCCTCCATCGCACTCACCTCTCGCTCCTGGTCCTCGAGCCTCACACGCTTCTGTTCCACCCTCCGCTTCGCCTCTTCCTCCTCGCGTGCTTCCCGCTCCTGATCATACTTCTTCTTTGTTCTTGTCTCCCGCCTCTGATACACCACCCTATTATCGCGTTCCGCTCTCAGGACCTCATCCTCCGATTCGCCTACGACATTCGGACTGCCCTGCCTCATGTCCATACCCTGCCCCTGCTCCTCCTGTTCATCATTCTCGACCGAGAGGTGCACTGCCTCTAAACCAATTGCTAACTCCTCCATCCTCTCCCCCTCCCCCCTCTGTTGTTGGGTCTCCGACCCGCAACGCTCGGTCTTATCCTCTGGTGCCCTCTGCTGCGCCTCCCTCATTCCACGCAAGATCTCGCGCGCACTCCTCTGAAAAGGTGGTTCCTCTCTGTCCATCATCTGACCCTCCCCATCCGTTACGCTCTGACGCTCGTTGGCCAGACCCATTCGTGCGCCGTCACCAACCATTGCCCCCAACGCGACTATTTCGGCGTCAATAACGGGCGGGGCACTTGTGTCCTCAGCTGCGGTCATCGAGACTGGAATCCGTTCCCTATGGGCGACGGAGCACCCTTCTCGGCCAGCTTCTCACCGACCGGTGAACACCGAGGGCGGCGTCGACGCGGGCGTCAACGCCGATGGAGGCCAAGTCGGTAGCAGTGCGGGAGGCACATCGCGGCAGAGAGGTGTGATACACGCCGGTGAAGTCGGCGGCGTTCAGGCGCGAGGGATGCAGTCGTCGGCGGCTGCAGGGACCTCGCAGGGCTACGTCGGAGGACGACGAAGTGGTGTGGCGTCAATGTGCAAGGATGCTAAGAGGGTATGCAAGGTCAGGTGGAGTGCAGGTCATCAGGTACATGAGGCAGCCCACAAGCTCTGGATACGGGCCACTCGGCTCTACGGACTCATCCGAAGGCAGAGCTGAAAGCGAGTGACCGGTAGGCAGAGGAGTGGACTGAGGCGAGGAGTACGTGAAGCCAAAGCGCTGAAGGACCTGCTGCACCATGTGTGACTGAGTCAAGGTGATGGTGCGCCGTGCTCTGTCCCGGGTGATCCGCAAGCCAAGATAGTTTGTCAGTTCACCCAGGTCTGTGTACGTGTGTCTCTTCTGCAGCTCCGACTTCACGTGGGCGAGTGCCGCAGTGTCAGCAGTGGCAAAGACCAAGTCGTCGACGTACACGAGGATGTAGAACGGCGGCAGCGAGGTGTCGGTGCGTAGAAACAACGACGAGTGAGCAGTAGAAGGAGTGAACCCGAGAGCCGCAAGTGTAGTCCTCAGTGTGTCGTGCCACTCACGCGGCGCCTGGCGGAGACCGTAGACTGGCCGCCGGAGGCTCCACTGGGTACCAGGAGGAAACGACCCAGTGAAGCCAGGAGGGCGGCGCAGCCAGATCTCCTCGTGCAGGCTGCCCTGCAAGAAAGCAGTGCTGAAGTCAAGTGAGTGAAGCTCGTATTTGCGCTGAGCGGCTATGTGCAGCAGCACCCGAAGAGTGGTCATCTTCGGGGTGGGAGAGAAGGTCTGGAAGAAGTCAACTCCCTCTCGCTGACTGAAGCCTCGAGCAACGTAGCGCGCCTTGACGACAAGAGGAGAACCCGGCGGCCGCTTCACCCTGAAAATCCACATGCCACTGACGATGTTCGCCCCAGGTGGGAGAACCTCGTCGACGTAGGTGCCTGTGGACTTCCAGGAAGCCATCTCTGCGTCCACGGCTGTCTGCCACTGAGAGGAGTATGGACCCGCCATCACCTCTGCGTAAGAGCGCCGGGTCGGGATGTCTGGTGCATCCGGGTCTCCCTCAGGGGCAACTAGCATGGACACAAGATGGGGCAAAGCAGCAGCAAAGCACTGGAACTCCTCCTGTCTGTCCTCAAGGACGTCCGTGCCAAGAGCACACTCACCCCCGACGGACGGAGGACAGACAGACTCAGACTCAGCAACAAGGCTAGCGGCGTAGTCTAGACGACACCGGGCAGCAAAGTCAACCAACTCAGCGACCAGAGCAGACGCAGCAGAGGACTCAAAGGTAGGGTCAGTGACAACAGTGGCGAGGAGACGCGTGACAGTGGGACTGGCAGCACGACGGGAGTCAGACTCCGGGTCAGGAAGAGTAGGTAGAGAGGACGCAGGAGGAGACGGCAGAGGGACACGCTGAGGAGCAGTGGAGGGACGAAGAGTCATGTAGTGAGGAGGAGGACGCTCACGTGGGACACGACGACCAGTGCGAGCAGTACGAACAGGCGACGCAGGACGAGACTCAGGCTCACGACGCTCCGTAAGACCTCCTGTGGGACCAGTGTAAGGGGAGGGACCAGGGAGAGGCGAGGCAGGCGGTAACTGTGACTGCGACTGGACAGGCGGAGGACACTCTAAGGAGGAAGGAGGACAAGGAGGAGGAGTCTGACCAAGAACCTGCTGAAGGAGCGGTACGAAGTAAGGTCGCTACCGCACAGCGTCTCCAGAACCAGTAGAGACACCAGCGGCAGGGTCCTTAGTACCAGCAGTAGCTCCAAAGTCGGGGTCCTCAGCACCAGCAGCAGCTCCACCGCCCGGGTCCTCAGCACCAGCAGGAGCTCCAACGCCCGGGTCCTCAGCACCAGCAGCAGCTCCAACGCCCGGTTCCTCAGCACCAGCAGCAGCTCCAACGCCCGGGTCCTCAGCACCAGCAGTAGCTCCAACGCCAGGCTCCTCAGCACCAGTAGCACCTGCAGTACCAGGGTCCGCAACACCAGGAGCGCCACTCCGAAGACTGCAGCGCCGCGTGTACCACTCTCGGATCTGCTGAAGGGAGGGGAGCTCCTGGGTAGGAGGGGAAGCACTGGTACCAGCTCCAGCAGCACCTCTCCTGAGGCTGCAGTACTGTAGGTACCTCTCCTGCAGCTGCTGTGAGGAGAGGGCTCCTCCAGGTGTAGCACTCCCAGGCTCAGTACCGCTAGACTCAGCACCCCCAGACTCAGCACCCCCAGGCTCTGCACCCCCAGGCTCAGCACCCCCAGGCTCAGCACCCCCAGGCTCAGCACCCCCAGGCTCCGCACCCCCAGACTCAACAACCCCAGGCTCAGCACTCCCAGGCTCCGCACCCCCAGACTCAGCACCCCCAGGCTCCGCACGCTCAGGCTCAGCACCCCTAGCTTGACGAGAGTCGACAGCTACCTCGACAGGCTCAACCGGGTCTACCTGGGACACACCTGAGGGAGCGGCACCCTGAGGGGGGAGGGGGTCTACCACAGCAGCACCTGGCGCGAGGAAGAGAGGCGGGGGGGGGAGCGGGGCAGTGCGGTAGGGGAAGAGGCGGTAGTAGGGGACGGACTCGTCAAAAGTGACGTCCTGAGATGGCAGAACCCGGCGCGAGGTGACCAGGTCCACCTCTCCCGCATCCTCCTCATCACCTGCCACCAGCTTGTTGAAATACTTTTTGCAGCTGGTCACTATGTCCTTGAATATATCCTCTCGCCGGTAGGGTGGTTTTCCAAGAACCCTAAATTTATCATCTCGATCATGCTGTAAGAGAATCGAGTCAAAATGATCGAGCACCTTACGCCACTGGTACGCTACATGAGAACCGCTCCCGACCTCCCTCGAGCTGACCATTGGAGTTAGCTTCTGCATGAAAATGAAAGGGAGCTGGTCAGGGCTTGTCCTGCTTAGAGGTCCGAGCTGAATTCCGAGTTTGCATTGTAAACTTACTCCCGCTATGTCGAGCCTCCACCCGCTCATAATCCGTCTCCTGATGTCGCGGAAAGTTTCCTGCTCCTCCGAGTTTGGAGTGAGTGCTTCTCCTCTAGAAGATTCCGTCAAGAGCTGCACCTCCAGCCATCTGCTCGGCATGTGAATTTCCGACAATATTAGGCTATGCTCTGCCGTACCGTCATTTGCACATGTGACGAGCGACAATAGTTAAACCTTACTTGACCATTTGAAGGGCGAGGTCGGTGTGCTTGTGTGCTGGAGAATTCGACTTGGGGTCGAAATGCAGAAGACGTGTCGCAACCGGAATATTCGGGTGGTCGGCCAAACTGTCGGGCCGAACAAGCATGAAAAGGCTACAGCGCGCTCCAGGCTCGGCAGTCATGCTGCATGGGGCGGTGGGGGGAAAGGTTAGCAAGTGCGTAAAAGCTCGGAAAATCGAACAGCCGTTGTATTTTCAGAGAAATAAAGATTGATACCGGAACCTCTACAATTCGAACTCACCTTGACCACAGCGGAAAGACTACGAGTTGCTTGCCAAGCACACCATCGAGTCTGCCAGGACCCATGGGTTCGTACGGTTGTTTCGCCCGGGCCGCGTTGACAGCACTCATGGGGATGATTTCGACTTTCGACAGCTGGTCCGCGGTCAGCCTCTCCTTTGCAATCTTCCTGCAAGAGACAACACAAGGAGCTTTCAGAGATCAGACCAGCGCTACACAACACATCCGTCTTCGCGGAAATATCTCTCGAAATAGAGATCGCTTACTTTGGGCAGTAGAATAGAGGAGACTAGTACTCGGAAGATGGTTTAAACGTTAGAGCGGCAAGAGCGTTATTTGCTAGATCGCTACTAGTACTCTACACGTGACAGAGAACGTAAATCTCGAAACGTCACACATCTATCCGAGAAACAAAACTACAAGGGCATCTTACACCATAGCAAAGTTGAGCATGTTCTCGGTCCATTCCCCACGCTTGAATCGCATGTTCTCGAACTCTAAACGAGAGAGGCGCACACGCAAGCCAGCAGCCTCTACTTCCATCGAAGGCTCCATTGACGAAGTGGTGGAAGCTGGGAGGCTGGGATCTAAGGAAGAAGTTGGACAAAAACTGAAGGAGAATATGTAAAATGAGAAAATGACCTCCGTTGGGCATTTATACCCGCCCAACACCATCCTGAGCCTGGACTTTGAGGTCGTGTTCAAACATTCGACCCTGTATGGTTGTGGCGACAAAAAAGGTTGCATTTATCAATGGCAGTGCCACCCCAGGCCATGAAACCCATACTGACCCGCGATCTAAAGCCCTCGTATCGGGACAATCTCAATCTTGTGCTGCACTCTGAAAATCTGACAACGACAGAATCCGACCAATAACCATCTCCCCCATGCCAATTTCGAGAGTTATCCTGAGCCGCCACGTGGAGGTCAGTGATTTCGAATTCGAGTCCATGCAAGGACGGTCGATTTCGAAATTTGCCCAAATTCAGTCGCCCGATCTCTATTATTCAACTCGAAATTGGGCTACTAATTTCGCTGCATCGGGCTCGTCGAAAATGTACCTCGTA